TTTTATTAGGGAAATTTATCTATTGGAAGATTGCTCAAAGCTTAACGCAGATGTCGCCACTAATGTTGACAGACTGCATATAAAATTCGTGAAAATTAGCATTAAATCATAATTTTCATCAAGCCTGCGTGAAATCCTTCCAATATAACATTCGAATTGAAGAAGAAAACGTTTTTACGATCAGACTGATGTGCATCTTTGACTTTTCCAGGTGAACTTTCATAAGATATATTCATTTTATTTCACGGCTCCATCAATGCTGCATCGTAAATATGATGGTAAACAGAAGTAAATTGCTCAATTACTCAAAATAAAGATGATTTGTCATCTTGTTATCACTTTGAAGACCATCTAGCATCATTTTATAGTATGGTGCGTGCTGAGTAAATCAAGTTCCAGTGCGTTTTCCGTCGAAAATTGTGAGTATCAATATGTTTGCTTATAAAAGGCCACAATGAACATTTATTGAATATTGGCGTCATATACAACCAATTCTCTATTGCCACCAGCATGATACAACCTTTCCTAAGTAAATTCACTTAATTCCCACTTTCATCTTAGTGAAAATCGCACATATTTACCATTTTCTGAAAATTGCAGCTGCGCAAGAGGTAACCTCTCCCTGTGGGTGCAAACTTGTTATGCATAATTTGCCATGAAAACATCTCCGATCCATACCGAAATAATAACAAATAGTTTTCAAACACGTTTTCTTTTCTTACACGATTCAAGCAAAAGTTTCCACGGGAAATTATTAGTTTTTCTTTATGAACCGATTTGTATGCATTTTCCTACACTCAAAAAATTCCACACGTTTGATCGAAATGTTTAAGCACTTGATTCTCTAAATGCACAATCACATTTACTTTAAGTGTATTTCACCTTGGTTCAATGTGTTATACACGTTAATTTCTAGTGTTTTAAACTTTGAAATGTTGAAAATCTTTCACTATCTATTCAAGTGTATTGCACATTGAATCACACTACTGTTCAAAACAGATGGATTTAAAGTGTTTTGCATTTCAATGCGATGTGAATTGCTTGCTCTGAAAGGTAAACATCGAAAACAAGAGTTGTGACTTTATGCTATCAACCCGCCTTATATATCAGAACAACCGTATGGCACAGTGAGATCGAACGAAGACTCCGGCATCAGCACGCCCCAACAGTCCATGATCGAATCTCGAATCAGACCCATTAAAAAGATAAGTGAAAGCTCTTACCTCTGGCAGTTTTGAGTATATATTTATCGATTCATTTTTAGGGTCGGCAAAGTAGAAGTCGATAAAGTAGAATATTGTAGAATATTGAACTGTGATGTGCAAAGCTATTGATATCACCATATGAGGCACATATAATCCAAGTGTGTCACAATTCAAATCCATAATGTTCAGGCATGATTCATAGCATAAGATTCACACATGAAATGGATGTGTTTCACAATAAGCGCAAAATCAAGTGTGAGACACATGATGATGACGTGTAGAATTTTTTGAGTGTATGTTTCGAGGGGTGAATCGATTAGCTTGGGACCGAAGATAGTACCAGAGCTGAGCCAAAAAGTGTGTTCTAATGTGTCAAATTCATGATTCAGTCATGTTGGATTTTTGTATGAGACAGCGACCGAGTTTGTTTACAATTTGCTCTTAAACCACACTTAACACCCCCCCCCCCCCCCCGCGACATCCTCGCCTACACAGTGACAAAGTTGTATCACCATTTATATACCCACCATGCCCACGACGATGCAGCAAGCGGGGAACGGCAATGCTTGGCACCCGGGTATCTAGCATTGATAGGTTGGGTGGGCATCCTTATACACACTTAATTTTTTTCGCCAAGATTCCAACAGCCGAGTAGTTCTGCAATTTAGTTTGCTAAGGTTCAGTAAAATAATTGCCGAGACTCAGCAAACAAATATCATTTTGCTGCGATATCAGCTAACAAACATATATTTTGCAGGTATATCAGCAAAAGTAAATGCCGAGGTAATCGACTGTTGGAGATTTTACCGAGCCAGATTAAGCAAAGATGAATACTAAGATGAAACTGTCGGAAGAAAAACTTTCTATTTTAGTGTCCTCTTTCACGGTCCCTTTCATCCAATGAATACCCCCCGTATTCAAGGTAATTTTGTGGTTTTGCTTCCCCCTCAGTAGAGATGAAATTTTGCGCTCATTTTTATCAAAAGAATCACACCAAAATCAGAGATGTCCCATTTTTTAATTACTCGATTAACAACTAATCGATTTGTTTTTTTGTTCGCTGTGCCGTCATTTTTCCACCAATGAGAGTGCAGCACATGTTTGAAACGATCGGTGATGACCCTCTGGAGATTTTTTTTTTTTGTATATTAATTTATTTGATAAGGCTCAACCGAATTAACTTAACAGAGCCGAGGATTCATGGTCACTATACAATACATCTTAAAGCTATAGTCAAAAGGTACAACACAATAAACACTTTATCTTCCGCTATCCAAAAAGCCTCCTCCATCAAAACTGGAGCCGCTTCCAGTAGTTTCATTGTATGGCAAATTGTTGGACGCCAACGAGGGTCAGAGCGCGTCCATTGCAGCAATGGACGCAAAACGTGGTCAGCACTCACACACTCATCACGAAACGGTTGCTTTCCAAAGTCGACGACGCATCGACCGAAAGAACTGCTGATGAAGAACAATGAGGAGGACCACACAATGGTTGCTGCCGAGAAAACAGACGATCGCGTAGCACACATCGAGAGTGGCCTGCTTTTGTCGACAGCCGAGTGAACACTGACCCTCTGGAGATGTTAATGCTTATATCGGCATGATATAACCGATTACAAATATTTTACTTTTCGGTTCATTAATCGATTAATCGATTATTCGAATGAAAGTCGGCCACCCCTAGATGAATGTGAAACGTCATTTCAAATATAAGGACCGTACATAAATAATGATACAATTTGAAAGGGACCGGGGCTAATCACAAATTACGTCCCCACGGTAACTGAAACAAACACGAGTGTTCACCGGTTGGATTAAGTGTGTATGACAATACGTGCGCGCGTTTGTTTTGCCGACAGCCGACACCCAACCTCACAATTATTGATGAATCTACGCGAAACTGCACCAATGCATGCGACCCCTAGGTTTGGATTCCAAAACCATAAAAGTGATGATGTACTAAAAAATATTCCATACGATTTGACAGGTAGCAAAAGGTCATTATCATTTTCACATCATTTCCATCTGCCGGTCGACCGTAACGTAGATTCATCAATTGGACTTATAAAAAACTTAGCAATTCATGCTTATATGCATATAAATTTAACTAAGATAATAAATACCGATAAATACCGATTTTTTTAAACTGTTGGTACCGATAAGCTGGAAAACAATCTGGCAAAAACAATCTCTCTCAAATTTTAATGTTTTGGTTCTCTGTGGACTGGTAGTAAAGCGGATAGAACTGTATGGATTAAGTGTTTGGGTAATATCTGATAGATGTCTCCATTAAGTACAGCAGTGACATCTGAAGGAAAATTAACGCAGAAGCTTGTTAACATAATTGATGAATCTACGCAAAACTGCACCAGTGCATGCGACGCCTAGGTTTGAAATCCAAAACCACAAAAGTGATGACGTACTAAAAAATATTCCATACGATTTTCCATCGAGATTTCCATCTACTGGCCGACCGTAACGTAGATTCATCAATTAATTGGGCAATTCGTTTTGTTGTATACACAGAAAAAAAAGTTGTTGAATATTACATCCAAACTGCTGCAACCAGGTCAATCCATCGGTTGTGTAATATAACGTTGTATGATGTACATTGATTTTGCGACCAAAATTACATCCATTGATGTAATATTGTATCTGCTTTTCGCTATTACATCATTATTTCATACATCAGCTTGAATTACATTGATCGATATTACATTTTATTGCTGTGTAGACTTCTCTGGCATTTGTGAATTGCACACGTATTAGTGCAGAACTTCGAGAAAATTCAAAGGCTTTCTTGCACTAATACTTATAATTTACTCCGAGCTCTGCACTAATACTTGTTCATTTCACAAACTTCAGAGAAGTCTATATAGATTAGTGACATTTAACGCACGCACACTAGCGGGCGCATCGTCATGTAAAGTTGTTTATTATTTTCCTCTGGCTAACCTAAAAAATCAGGCCATAGTGACAAGGCCTACACCAACAGCAGCATTTGACAGAAGGCAGCATGTCCCGGGCTCAAATATTTTTTTTATGCTGTGCTGGGCCAGCTGTCACTGTATAACATGTTGCCTACGCGCCTGCCGCTGGGTTGTAAAAAATGTATGAACTTAGATCTGTCAAAATGAGCTTGACAGCGATTTTTTATGTATTTCCTCGGATTTTCACTAACACACTCTCACATATCGCACCAATAAAACTGGACGTGAAAATCTCTATACCCAGTAGAGTTTTAGTGTGTACATGTTCTAAAAAATCTTGCAGGATATCGCCCAGTTCTAACATGCTGAGTTCACTCGCAACCCTGCGTTGTCATTTTTCCTTTGGGTGGGATGTCAGAGCTTATGCTACAAAATGTTATGCAAACATTCGAGCTAAACATCATGCTCCGTCTCTTTCCTTCTTCCCAAACAGCTGGCTACCCGGCAACGAAGGAAAACGAGAGATGGCACTAGCCGGAGAGAAAACCTGTTTTATCATAAAAAATGCTTTTCAGAAAAATCACATCACACTCCACCTCACGTATCGTAACCGTGAGGAGGCTAGCAACATCATCTCCCGACCAACATCTTCCTGGGGAAGAAGGTAACCAATTTCACCATCCTCAGTCACACCTTCCGGAGCTGTTGACGTGTCTGCGTGTTTCAGGTGAGTACTCTGCTGTGATTTTTTACTCCATTCGGACGTTTCATTCATTAGAATACTCTGCAGCGCAATAACATTGTCATTCTTTCTGTTTGCCGTTTGCAGCGAGTGCATAATCCAATTATTTGCGAGAGCAAACTGCGCTGAGAGTGGTATTTTGATAAAAAGAAATCGCCCCGAGAGCAGCAGGAACGATGACGTCATCAGGAGAGATTTACATTGTCTCGGCAGCCAGAACACCGATCGGTAAGCAGCATAATTCTAATTGGAAAATTTTGTTTTCGGCTTTTTAAAGGTCCCGTTATCTTTTCTCTGTTTACCGTTTCATTGTGTGTTGGAACAGGTGTTTTTGGGGAAGGCGAATACCCTTATTGATGTGTAATGTTGATGTTCATTCATTGGTCATTGGTGCGTGACGGAACTTTCTCTAACACGCGTTGTTGCGATGCGTTGAAATTAGTAGTTACGTATTTAAGGATGGGGTTCTTTCTGGTTAGTTCACGAGTAAGAAGTCGAACGTCGTTCTGCTTTTTGTTTGATTTGAATATCAAAGAAGTAGAGTGATAATTTTGCATCAGATAAAGTTCCTCTGTTCATGAATAATTCATCCGTTTATTATATCATTGTGCTGTTTGTGAATGCTAGGAATTCCAACATGGGCATTGTAAACTTGTTTAAAACTGGTTTTACATTAAACATTTTTTGGTTAGCTCTTCAAAAACCTAAACAGCTCACAACTCTCTGGTACACACGAAAGCCAAGAAATTATCATTGAAAATATTCTTCACGCCTTGAAGCAAAGATTTTTTTTCTATTGCACGTTTCACATAGCATTGGGGACTTCCTTATCTCAGTCGGTCAACGCGCAGCTTTAAAGCGATACCATGCTGGAGGCGGCTGGGTTCGGTTCCCGGCCTGGTTTAGGAATTTTTGCCACACAATTCAAGCCGAACAATGGATTTGGCCCTAACATTGAATGATTCTCTTCATCGACTTTCTCTTTCGTTAGGCCGTTGCAAATTTATTTTGATATTCTGGAAACTCCATAGAACCTCAAAGAACTCAAGTAGAAATTCATGGAACATAAAAAATGCACAGGGTTGAAAGTTTCGAAAGAATATTTAAAACTAAACACCCTCTAAAGCCGCGCCACCTTGCCAGTCAAAAACGGATTACTTTGCAACAAAATCAAGCAATAACACCGATAATGACCATGCCTCAGAATCCTAGTCGTAACGACTTCAAAGAGAACAGCGAATAAAAGATTAGGGATCACGTAGATGAAAAATAACTACCTAACAAGGCATACAAAGTACCAAGGACTAAGATGTGTTCCTTTGATTGCTGAAAATCCTGATCCCCAAGGTTGAAGTAGTCAGGACTAGGAATCGATGGTAGTACCACAAAAAGGTGATTTACCCACGTTACGGGGCAGGAGAATCTGTCACTGTTACTTAGGCCTAATCCATTGTTCGACTTGAATTATACAGACTTAGAAAGCTCTCAATTGATAACTATGAAAGTGCACAAAGAACACTAAGTTGAGGGTCGGTGTAAAGCCTCAGAAGGAACGTAATAAAGCCAAAAAAGAAGAAGATGTAACAGTAAACGATATTTTGCTGGTAGCTGCATCCAATCCATATCTTATCGAGTTCACGCCATATGACTTTCATAAACAAATTACTGCTGATCCAGTTGATAACTTTTACGATGTATTCAAATGCAGCGGGTCTTAGTTCTAATTATTCTATTTTTCATTATCTTTAAACAAACAAAAAACACATTATCTAATCAGACACGTACATGACGTCAAACCCATACAGAAAAGGTGACTGCAATGCCATAAAATCAAGTTTATCGTAAAAAGGAGTTTTTATGCGCTCTATTACAGCACCGAAATAATTGCATCAGTCCGTTTCTACTTTGATAGTTTCAATGCAAGAGGATACTGCTCACTCACTCACTTACTATGAGCTCCTAGGTCTGCCACTGCTGCGATGTCCTGACGGGTGGCCGGCGAATTATATACCACAGGCATCGGTTGTTGAAGACCTGCAGTTTTTTAGTGTTCTCCGCTGATACACATCACGTCTCGCTGGCATATAACAACACAGATTTCACGGATTTTGGTGCGATCTACATTCATTTCGTAAACTCGCAAAAGCAGCTCTAGCCTTCTTGATTCGTGTGGGTGTCGGTACCAGTGTTTGCATCGCGATAGGTCCTGACGGTGATGATATCCGAGAAATGTCTTCCATCAATCAAAACGTGGTCGATTTGTGATTCTTACCAACCTGCGGATTTATTATCCTTTCCAAACTTGTAAAATCTTCACAACTGACAGTAAAACATAAAAATTACGAATTTTCAAATTTCCCGAACCCGGGCTTAAAAAATCCTTTGGTCCTTCGAACTAATTTTTATTTTTCGATTCAACTACCTTTTCCCAGGAAACTTCCTAGGTGCTCTGTCGTCCCTCAGCGCCGCTGAACTGGGAGCCGTTGCCGTCAAGGAGGTCCTACATCGGGCCAACGTCGCCCCGGCGGATGTGGATGAAGTCATCCTGGGTCAGGCGCTGGCTGCCGGCCAAGGCCAGAACCCGGCGCGCCAGGCTTCAATGAAGGCTGGCATTCCGAAGGAAGTTCCGGCCTACCTAATCAATATGCTGTGCGGTTCGGGTCTGAAGACGGTTTCCCTGGGCTACCAGGCGATCCGCTCCGGGGATGCAAGCGTGGTCGTTGCCGGTGGACAGGAATGCATGTCCAAATCTCCTCACGTGCTGCATTTGCGCAACGGCACCAAAATGGGTGAGGCCAAAATGGTGGACACCATGCTTTGCGATGGCTTGACGGACGCCTTCTACGATCTGCACATGGGTGTGACTGCCGAGAATTTGGCCAAGGAGTTTGAAATCACCCGGGAACAACAGGATGCTTTCGCAGCCAAGAGTCAACAGCTGGCCGAGGAATCGCTGACTAAGGGTTACTTCAACGACGAGATTGTGTCGGTGCAGATTCCTAGTCGCAAGGAGACCATTACCTTCGACAAGGATGAATATCCTAAACACGGAACTACGGTGGAAGGATTGGCCAAGCTGAGACCCTGCTTCATCAAGGATGGCACCGTAACGCCGGGGAATGCTTCCGGAATTAACGATTCAGCGGCGGCAGTACTGCTGATGTCCGGCGAGGAAGCCCAGAAGCGCGGTGCCAAGCCGCTGGCAAGGATTGTTGCCTTCAGCCAAACGGGAATCTGTCCGAAGACGATGGGAGCCGGACCGATCAGTGCGGTGCATAAAGTCGTAAGTATTGACTCACTTTGATAAGAATTTCAAGAACGATAAACTAATAATCGTTTTCTCAATCGACAGTTGGAAAAGGCTGGATGGAAGTTGAAGGATGTTGATCTGTTCGAATTGAACGAGGCATTCGCAGCTCAAGCGTTGGCCGTCAACAAAGGGCTCGGTATCAATGCGGACAAAGTGAACATTGGTGGTGGAGCTATTGCACTCGGACATCCGATTGGCGCTTCCGGTAATATTCTGTTGCATCATGCGATCCGATGAAGGGAAAATTCATACATTTTTTGTTTTCTACACTTTCGTAGGTTGCCGCGTGCTGGTCACCCTGTTGTATGCCTTGAAGAGAACCGGCGGCAAGAAGGGCGTAGCCTCGCTGTGCGTCGGCGGTGGAATGGGAGTTGCAATGGCTGTCGAAATGGTTTGAAACCATTGAATGGCCTTAAAACTGTTTTTCTTACGCTGAAGAAGCGTTGTTGTTGTAGTGCAAAGTACTAGTATTTTCAACTGCTCTTTTATAACCTCAAAAGGATTTCAAAGAATGCGTTACTTAACTTAAAGTATTTGCCGTTGCATGTATTGTTCTCGAATCTAAAACCTTTACTTAGATGATAGTGACCAAGAGGGGACAGTGAACGACAATAAAGTAACATTTTGTACTTAACTCACTTTTTACCTTGTTTTATTTGTAAGCATGATCTTGCGCAGCGTTCCCCGTGGATCGTACGTGGACTCTAGATCTCAGCAATGACATAATTCAAGTCCAATTTTATTCATCATTATGAATTTCACCCCATCATGAATGAGAAAGAAACAAAGTGCAGCTTGAAACATGTTCATCGAAAATAGATAGGGTTAACTACCCCATTTCCGGCCTATTAAGCACTACCCGCATTTAGTCTTTCTTAATCTAGCGCAGTTTAGTACCAAACGCAATGTTATTATTACTGATAGCTTCCAAATTTATTTACCTTTCCGTACGTATCGTAAGAATTGATAAAGAGAAACCAATCGTTGAGATATTGTCAAAAGTCTAACACTGCTTCTTGACGCCAAACTCGGCCTACGGATTCTAAACTCGGCCTAACGTATTGAAACGCCATTGAAACGTCAATGAATTCACTTCGGCCTATCGGATGAAGATAAAATTTGATTCGGTCGGAGCGCTTCTTTTGTTTTTAGGAATAATGGGTGCAAACCTTGATATCACGCGTTCTCATTGACTTCGTTCGGTAGCTTATTAACTTAAGTATCGTACGAAACGCATAATTGACTTGTTAACTCTGAAATCATGGATTTATTTGAAGTTTTCTGTTCCATAGGCCCAAAATGGGCGATTAGGCCGAAGTAGTTCTCTGCCCTACAGCCACTTTTAAAAAAACAAGTTGCCTTGCTCAGGCAGGCCTGATCTAGCAGAAAGTCTGCTATACTACAGACACTCAGAGAGAGTCACTTCTACTCTACGGTATGGATTAATTTCTAAAAACTACAGGACGTCAGCGCTGAGTACTTTCAATTTTTAGAAATTTTTCATACAATCGAGTAGAAGTGACTCTCTCTCTCTCTCTGAGTTATTTTCAATGGCCGTGTAGAGTCTGGCTTGCGGCTAATCTGGTACTGACTTGTGCTAAAGTCAGGCGGCCAATCGTATGGCGGCGATGTGGCATCATACAACATGGCAAAACATCAAGTCGATTTGGCATGTTAGTAGATGCCACATCGCCGACACACCAGTGGGCGTCGAACTTAATTCGGATGCCAAACTAATAAAATTCCACACAGCGGAGCCGGTGGTGTAGTGGTATGCGTGATTACCTCTCACCCCAGCAGGCCTGGTTTCAATCCCAGTCGGCGCCGCCGGGATGTTCTGAGGCATAACATCTCTACTCACGCCTTCCTTCGGAAGGGAAGTAAAGCCGTTGGTCCCCGGTTCATGAGTTTGATAGGTCGATAGGTAGGGTCCAGGTGTGGGAGCTGCCTCCCTGGCGTCGGTAGCATTGTTGCTCAGTACGGAAAACAAGGTCGACGGAAAAAAAAATTCCACACATTTTTTACGTAGGACTTCGTCTGTGATTTCTATATGGGGGTACACTTTGTGAAAACCGAAAATGGAACAATTAACGAAATTATGAAATATTTTGAACGTTAATATCTCAGCTGCCCCTGGACCAATTTCAATATTTTTTTCACCAATCGATCAGAAATATTTTTACGCATCTTTTTTGAAATATTTCTACGCAGTGTTTTTGACTGTTGAAGCAACAAGAAAGCATTGAAAAAGTGGTAAATGTTAAGCATTGTCCAAAAGCGTCGAAATAACTAACAAATCTACCAATTACGTACATGCATATGCTGCTTCCCCAACACAGTTATCAGAGAATCGTTTCTAGACGCAGTGATGCAAAAGATCATGACACTCACGTGACACTCGCCTACGCATTAACCGACTAACGCTGACAGAACGTTTTGTCACGCAGTGAGAGGTAGAGCCATGGCAAACAACAATCACCAGTAATGGTCGCTGCTCACAAGCAAAACGTTACACTTGCTGCAGATGATGAAAAGCACAACGAAAACAGTGAAGACTTCTGCAGTTCGATCATGAGAAAAAGCGAAACGACAGAAGGAAATGAAAACAATGCCTACACATTCCAAGTTCGTCTCGGCAGGCGCGACTGTGTGAGTTACAAACAAAGCAGGCAACATTAAACGGAATCTGTTGGGCTCACTCACCAACACACTCACATCTGCAAGCAAAGCAGCAACTGCTTCAAAACGAGCACAGATGAGTGTCGTGATTGTCGGGAATGACCAGATCAGTGATGGATCACAACCGAAGACGACATTCACCAGTTGATTTTTACTTCTTTCGTCAACTTGATGGATGGTCATGGAGAGAGCTTCGACGAGCACATTGATAGGAATGGACAAAGCGTTACTACCATCAGCTGTTTGACGATCGTGATTGTGATAGGTCGCAACTCTGTCTAGACGAAACATGTCGATGTAGTTGGAAGTAAGTAGTGAAAGCCCCTGGATGCGTGTCTATAACAAGAGTGTCTATAGCAGCCCCCGGGACGTTGATGACAGCTGCCAGTATGAGTGTGTATCTGAATACTGCAAACTAAAGAGCCTGAATTTATAAAGAGGCGACATCTTATCCATTTGACAGGTCTTCTGCTCGATTTTTCCTATGACTTTGACAGATAATCTATTGTTCCAATTCTGACATATCGTCTCTTTATAAATTCAGGCTCTTTACTGCGAACTAACTCAAAATGCTTGTCATCTGGGAGCCGAGTCAAACTGTCAAACGAGAGCCAAACATTCAAAAGAGCTCAGAAGTCTCGTAGGTAGTTACCGTTTGCACCACAAGTAAAGGTGTTGCCACCTACTGAAAACAAATTGAGAATTATAATTATGAAACTGTCGAAACATCAACCTTAGTAGGCGGATAATGTAAATCATCGAGCGTGATGCTCTAAAAAGTGTTTTTATTTGATATTAATAATGCCAAAACTGGGTTGCTGAAACAAAAATGTAATCAAACTTTGTCATGTGAGCTTTGTGGGCAGGTGCACTCCCATCACCATGTATACGTTATTTCTGGAGCAGAGTTTATTTGACAGCATGTATATACAATTTCGTGAGCTGTTTCAGCAAAACAATTTGAAACTTCGGAAGATTTTCAAGATGTTTTCTAGCTCACTTGAAAAATAAAATCGGCTGAGTTCGCAGTACTCAGGTGTGTATGAGTGCGTGAGAGTGAGAGACTGACGAAGCATAAAGGCCTAAACGCAATGTGGGCGGAAGCGGAACGGAAACGGAAAGTTTGACAGTTGTCACAAATGACATCAAGATGCCTAACCGAAGTCGATTTGATTCTAACTAGTTTTCAATCCGACAAGTAGGCTTACTCAGATCGGGCTTTTCCACTGCCACTGCCGTTCCGCTTCCGCTGTCATTGCGCTTGGGCCTTAAATTGCTGATGTGTGTACAATTTATGTTTGTTGTCTAGTCCATTGTAACTTAAAAATAAAGACGCACGTAGAACGTAGTCCGCGGTTGTTATTTTTCTTCGTTATCACGCGACTCCCGGGACGGGTGTTTATTGTCCGGTAGTTCGGTTTGGATAACCTATGTATACCTGCGCTGGGATTTCCACAGATGTAGCATTGCTGCTTCCCCAACACAGTCATCAGAGAGTCGTTAGTAGACGAAACAAGTCGAAGTGGCATTCGCCTCCGATCTTCGGGCGTGTGCGAATAGGGAGGATGTAATTGCGAAACATTGTGTACACTTATCGCCATATTCAGAACCACACGTCCCCAACAACCACACAAACGGCTCTCCAGAGTTGTAATCTTGTAACCAAACTTGGAAGCAGGAGTGCAAGTGATTTTGATCGATTCTCTTCATCGACTTTTTGTTTCGTTAATAACTCGACGGCAAACAGATTCATTGATACGTTTGTTGTTTTGGATGATAATAGAGCATAGCAGAAATAGTGTGAACTAGTCCTGATGAATGTGGGCGTCTTAGTGGAATACCTGTATAATGAGAGAGAGAGAGAAGGATTAGTATTTTCCATTTAATTCCACTACTTTATTTGCTTATCCTTGACAGATACGCGTATTTTGTCTACAATGTGCAGACTTCTTCAGTGTCTTGTACTAATACTCGACGCCGTGTTCGCGAAAAATGTTTATTCTAGCCACGAACACGCATACAAAATGTATGAGTTGGTTCGTGTATAATCTATCGCGGACAAACTATTTTTATCTAGATAAAAAGAATTCTGTGGTTTTGACAGATGGGATCGCTGCATATTTGAATCGGCCGTTATGGATTCTCGATCAAAAGTTGAGTTTAAGTTTCCTCCATCGGCAATCGACCAAACTGAAACCGGCTCCATCTTGTACTGTAATCATGGATGGCACAAGGGTTGAGTGGTCTGCCGAAGTAACCTATCTCGGGATGTTGTTCGATGAAAAGCTCCTCTTCTACATGTAGAGAAAACTGTAGTCAAGACTTGACTTAGTGTTCTGCCTTGGTTAGGTGTCTGTATCCGCTGATTTACCGCAGATCCCGAGGGGGGCGACACATCTAAATCTCAATTATAGATGCTCAAAAAATCTCACACTAGCGAATCAATCTTCGAAAAATCATCTTTAATTTCTCGCATCTACTTGCATCGTGCTTAATCTTTTTGCAGGAAATCTTCAAAATAGACATAAATCTTCCTTCTATTTACTCAGCGTGCGTGCAGCTAGCCACAGCAAAACACAATCTTTTCTGCATCGTAGATAGAGTCGCCCCCCTCGGCAGATCCTGCCTCTCAAGGGTGAACAAACTGGCTGTCTACAAACAAATCAAAGCACCTGCGATCTTCTACGCAGCTAATACATCAAAACATGCTTTAATAAGCAATTCAAGACCAACAATTGAAATGGCCTTAACTCCATTTTGTAAACAAACCTTGTAAGGCCATTTTCTCGCGAACCGAAGTCCGCAAAGGCAAACCAACATAATGAACAGGTAGGGAAAAATCTCCTCTACCCGATTGTGGTTTAGGTTTGCGAATAAAGGTTTCGGTTCGCGAGAAAATGGCCTTACAAGGTTTGTTTACAAAATGGAGTTAAGGCCATTTCAATTGTTGGTCTT